CCATTACTACGGAGGCTAGCAGGCTTCCTGGCTCATTCAGCGCTAACCCCGTCAAGAGCTGGGGGGAGCTTAACAAGGGAAAAGTGTGAACAGGAAGAAGACAGCTGTACACAGAGACTGCTGACCACAGAGACAGATCACCCAAGAGAGACACAGTCGCAGGCCTCACCACCCCTGAAGTGAATGGACCAGCTGTAAGGTAGGGTGCCCCCAAGAGGAGGGGCTGAAGGTAGACCCCAATTAAAGACACTCTACCAGCTGAGAAGCCAAGCCCCAAAAGGGCAAACCCAAAAGACTGCCAAAGAGAGATCACCACTGCTTTTGGTTTTCCTCTGATTCCCCTCTCTCTCCAGGGAGGGGCAGAGAAACAGACCCTGGTTTGTTTGGAAAACCCCTTGTGTGGTACGAACAGGGGCGGGACATAATAAACAACTTGCATCGGGGTCTAGTGGGGACTCGGGAGCCCTGCACTTTGCGACTGCTCCTTTTCATTTCTGGTCTAACAAGATGGGGAGCACGGGGGCCCGGAGCATTTATGTGCCACCGACAGCCCGTCTGCCCACCCACCGACCTCCAGGGTTCGGGCTGATTTCAGACAGACCTCTGGGGATCTCTGCCAGTTTCCTGCTCTGCCCAAGGCACAAGCAGTGAGATTCTGGGGAGAACAGCACTGCTCTGAAGTCAGATCTCATGGAACCAGCCTCAGTTCTAGTCCTAGCAGGTAACGACAACACTGGGCAACAAACAATGGCCCCAATGCAGTTGGAGAGAGGAAGTCTCTGTCCCCAGGTAGGCGAGGCCCTTTCTGCACTAGGAGCAGAGTGTTTTACCATGGCCAGCGTTCCCCTGTGAACACGTGTGAAAACCGCAGGCTGCCCCGTCTTCACTGGGATTTCACCTTGGGCTAGCAAACCCGTGCTCAGAACATGCCTTCCCCCTGCACGTGGACACAGCTTTCCGGTGCACAGCCACAGAGAACTCACTGCTGCAGCTGGCTACCACCCTCATGAGCTCTACTCCCTCCCACCCACACAGGCAGCCCACTGCTCACCGGCACGAGCCACAGGAACCAGCCGGGCTGGCGTTCAGCACCCTGGCCACCCCCCACGCCAGCTCCCCGGCCCCAGCCCCCCACGTCAACTCCCCGGCCCCAGCCCCCCCACGCCAGCTCCCCGGCCCCAGCCCCCGGCACAGCCCACAAAACTGCCAATGCTACGGAGGTGCCCAGGGCTCCCTGCCCCTCTCCCCGAGCAGCCCCGGGGAGCTCCCGTCCCAGGGCGTGCTCCTACTCGAGCAGCTGGTGCCTTGCAGCACGAAGTCTGGTGAGAGCTCCCACTGCTCGACCAGGAGCAGGTGCGAGGAAGAGCTCCTAGGATGATCAGGCGAAAGGAGACTGGCCTGGCTTAGCCTAGCCAAAGACGGGCTGAGCAGGGATCGGACTGTTCTCTCCACATCCAGCTGGGCACTACACACCAGGGAGGGAGAAGAGCTGCTGACGCTAAAGGTCAATGCTGGCCCAAGAACAGAGAGATAAAGCAGCCACGAGGACACAGGCTAGCCCTGCGGAGTGAGGCTCTGGGACCCACTTAGCTCGCCTGCTCCACTGCTTTGAAGACGGCTCTTGGCAAGTTTATGAACAGGACGACGTGAGGGGGCTGCCTGTGCTAGCAGGGACTGGCCACGATCACCCCCCCCACACCCCCGGAGCGCCTGCGATGCACCGAGCTCCACCCCGGCACACTGACTCTGCAGCACGCCCAGCGCAGGCAGGTGGCAATGGCTGGCAGCAGCAGGGCACGCAGCCCCAGCCACGCCGACCCCACAGGCAGGAGGAGACGACCCCCCCAAACCCAACACTCCTAGTTACGTTCGGGCTGTGCCACTGAGTGACCCCTACTGAGCTGGGGACCCCCTTCAATCCTGCGCAGCCGGAGGCTGAGCCCTCGTGGGGGATGGTCGCGCCGCTCCGGGCCGCAGCCCCACAAACAGCAGGAAAGGCAAGGAAGAGACCAAAGCACCAGAGTAGTCGCTGCCTTCACTCCGGGAGCTCCCAACCCCCGCCCAGCCCAGCCCAGCCCAGGGGGCCTTTGCCAAGTGGTGGCCTGCGGTCAGAGACGGCTCTGTGCCAGCCCCTCAGCCACCAGCCCCGAGTGAGCACACACCGCAGCCCAGCGGCGCAGACGCCCAGGAAGCTGCCAAATCCATTGCCTCAGACAGTCTGCTCGTGCTCCAGGGCCCTGCTCCTCCAATGAGCAGCCGAGCTGGGAGGGCGGTCCTGCTCCAGCTGAACAAAACAGGAAGCTGGGGGCTGGCTGTGCGCTCCAGGCCCCTCGGAGCCAGGCAGCACAACCCCTCCCTCCCTGGGGCCAGGCACCTAGGGGTAGAGGGTTCCCTGCCCACCAGCGCCCCCT